TATATATATATATATATATATATATATAAAAAGAATCCAATCAAATAGCAAAAAAATGTTAGCCGTTGCTAAAACTCAATGATGCAACCAAAAAAAAACCTTAACTAATTGTTGTAAAAAATAATATGATAAAGTAGTTTCTAAATTTCAATTGTTGATGATCAGTCTTAAATGATTGTTTCGTAATTTTTAAAAATCAAACAACCAAAATACGAAACAGTTCATTAAGTACTTTTCATTGAAAAGAGAAGCGCATTGTGACTGTTTTATGTTATTTGGAGTTAGATGTAGGCAAGTGGACAGGACATTGAAACGATGTTAGATGGAGCAGAGAGGTTGAGAAGGTATTTCCAACAAATACACATACATTAACACACCCCCACACACACACGCACATATACTCAGACAACTCGAAACATACACTCAGTTTTTTTTTATAAATGCTTTAAAGGAAAATTGTAAATTTTAAAGAAATCTATTTTCGGTCCAATTGTAACATAATTTTAAAAGAAAATGTAACTAAAAATCTAAAAAACATTTTGACAAATCAAAAATACATATAAAAACACAAGTTAACTAAATGAAACAAAAAGAAAATAGTAAAAATGATGAAAATCCTTTACAACTACAATATTAAAGAAACAAAACACCGAAAGGCCTTCTCATGGAAAAACGAAATGCAAATTGTGTTTTTATTTTGGAAAAATCAATGTGGGGAAAGATGTTATAATTAAAATATTTAACTCAGCCAGGTACCTGGAATCCTTTCCAATATTTTCTTAAACCAGCATATGATTATCTTTTCAAACTTATATTCTAAGTCAACTTAGATGTCTTTTACATTATCTTTGCTTATACCAAAACTTTCTCAATTTCATTGGTTACAGTGCACATATTGTTCACATATATATGTACGCATATATAATACTAAATTTCTTTTAGAACTGTGCATAAACATAAACATAGAGTCCTTAACTATAAACAAAATACTAAAGCTTCACTTGATCTCTCTTAATATAGGTAGATAATACAAAAAAGTATTCATATTTGGATTATGTAGATATAGAATATACTTATAACTTATATACCGATTCTAGGTATTTTCCTCATTTTCGTTCATTCGGAAACGCTTCGTTTGCTGGTCTTCGTTGTCCTCATCTCTATTACGCTTTCCAGCTCCTTGCAACTGCACTGAGATTACGTCGAAGGGTTCCACCTCAACGGAGACAATTTTAATATGGGGTTTTAAGAGCTGCTCCTCAAAGCCAGAATCCGGACTGGACCAATTGCTGCTCTCCGATAACTGTTGCTGTTGGTCCGTAAAAAGTGTTGCTTCTGTTGCTGGTTGATAATAATGATAGGTTACAATGCAATCCACACATGGCTCTATTATCTGTTCTGTGTAGCTAGTCAACTGGGTTAGATAGGGCGTCCAGCGCTTGGGTACTCCGCACAGTTGTCTTGTGGATGCAATACAGCTGGCAGCTAACAGGGAAGGGGGTTCGTTACAGAGTCTGCTAACTGCATAAAATAAATTTTGTTTAATTTATATTGGGGTAGATAGATATATAAATTCATCAGCTTACTGCTCAGCGTGTAATCGGAAAGGCGCAGCAACAGCTGAGCGAGTGCGGCCAGCATTTGTTCAAAGCAATTGAAGCGCGGATATGTGATTGCCAGCGAGGGTTGCTCATCGAGTTGCTGGCAATAGGCTTCATAATCTTCGCGTGTCAGAAAACTGCAGGCAAACATCTCCACAAAGCTCGCAGTCGTGGGCCTCATCAAATTGAAGTCGAAGAACGTGAGCACCTTACGCTCCACGGCCTTGTACTCAAAGGGCGCGTAGGACTTCTTGATTAGACGATTCATTTCGCTGTAACGCGGCACGAAGGCGTCCTGATTCTCCATCTGCGCTGCTATGTGCATGCAGATTATGGCAATCAGCTCCAGCTTGTCCACGCGTATGGTGTAGAAATCAAGTAACCGATCCAGATAATAGATGGCTGTTGTTACATTAAGCGAACTTTACAGCTTTACATATGTATAGTGTTATTAATTATTGGCACTCACCCAAATGCAAGGAGCATCGACTCAATCTATAGGTTCTCGTGATCAATTGACACAGCTGAAGTAGGCTTGGTCGCTGGTCCATTTGGGTGGACATAAAAAGTATGGGACGGCGACGCATCTCGGATTCCTTCATGGTTTTAAAGATGTCCATTGCGTACTCGCTCAACCATTGCAATTTCGAGAGGCGCTACAAGGCGAAGTGAGCCTTGTTTAACATTTATTTTATTTTAATGTTAACTTACCTCAATTTGATTTCTTTCATGCTCATTTTTTTCGCTGAGCATAAAGATGTTTTGTTCGAGCACGGCCTCTGTCATTTTCTTCGTGTATTAATTTAATTTTCGTATATTTACAACCCGAATACGTTTGCAGCTCATTGCGAATGAGCGCACAAAACATGCATCCTAAAAATCATGGCCGGCTGTAACGGTAAAAGCACAGTGTGTACACATAACCGTACACACATAGAGATGGGCATCATTTAAATGATGCTCGATGCACAAAATGCAAAAAAGTGTAAGTATTTGTAGTATATATAACTTCTCGATGTAAAATTAACTTTTAATGCATATTATCACTGACCAGAGAACACATAGACTAGACATGTAGAACATGTGTTCTCTGGTCAGTGATATTATTCTATCATTAACGCTCGGGTAGCGTGTTGCTAACTAAATTACTTCGTGAGTCACGCGTCGGTCAGAAGATGTTGATCGCGTTGCAAAGCGATCCATCACTAAATAACGAAACGAAGCACCGTCCCAAAATAAAACAAATTTTATTGGTTTCGAAAAAGTACAAATTTCTTTGCAATCTCAACTTCAGTAATTCTAGGTAAATTGTTAAGTCAATAAGGAATGCTTACATATCTATGCAAGTAAAAATAAAAAGTAAAAAATTTCGTCAGTTATTCATTTTTGTTTTGTCTTTAAGTATATGAAACTTTGGATAAATCTAGCTTTTTAGTAGACATGGTCCATTGTCCTTAAGGCACCAAATCAGAATTATTTGCGTCGTCCGATTCTTCCCCCTGACGACAAATCGACTCTGGCATTTCACAGCCAAAGTAAGCATTGTTGTTGGCACAGAAGAGAATCAAATGGCGCCAGCAATCGTCGACAGAGAGCAGGAGAGGATTACCAAAGATGACCAGCATACAACGGGAACGAGAGATGGCAACATTCATGCGTTTGTTGCAACGTACAAAGCCCAAATTATAGCGCGCATCAGATCTCAAGTTGGACTCAGAGGAGCGCACCGTGGATATGAGCATGATGTCGCGTTCCTAGAAGACAGGAGAAAATTAGACTTAAACTTGGGCAACTCTACTGTTAGCTGCTTACCTGACCCTGAAATTCCTCCACGGAGCCAATCTTGGGCATGCTCATGTTGGCAGTAATGAACAAGGAGCGCAGAACTTTCACCTGTTTGGCATAAGGTGTCAAAATGCCAACATGATCTGTAGGCACATTGCGACGAAACAACGCGACGGCCAGTAGAAAGACCTCGCGAGCTTCATCATTATTATACCAGGAGGGCGAATCCAAATCCTGCAAATTTTCACCCATTATGCCGTAAAAGAAAGTGCCATGAGTGCACGGCATATCCACATGGGGCTCAAAGACTGCCTGCAGTTCGGCCAGGTAACGCGCCTCGCGTGAATCCTTTTCGGAGATCATGGAGACAAGCTCGTCGTCATAGAAGAGTTTGCTATACACACACATGATGGAGGGCAGTGCGCGATAATTGTACAGCAGCTTGGTCAGCAGACATGGATTATAGCCCGAACTGTGGGGAAAGCGTTGCAGATCCCTGCGATACGGCGGAGTCTGGAGCAGCCGCTCCAGAAACGAGACATTTAGACCCATTTCGTTTGAATAGCGACTGGTCACAATCGCTTGCAGCTGGTAAGGGTCCCCGGCCAGAATAACCTGATTGCGCTTCTTGGCTAGAAGGGCAATAGGCACCATCGTCTCGGGCTCTGTGCATTGACCCGCCTCATCGATCAGGACGTGCGTAAAATGGTCCCGAGGAAATTCCATTTGGATGAAGTTGCCAAGTGTAGTGCAAGTACTGATGGTAATGCGATGCTTGCCCAAAAACTTGGCCTGGCAGCGCAGCTTCAAACCAGAGTCCGTAACAATCATCTGCAAAAGATCGAATCTGAGCAATGTGGAATTTCACATATATCGAGCAACTTACGCTATCGTGCGTGGAGTCAATTATGCCAATGTCTACTGTAGCACAGTAGGGCGCTAGATCTGGCGGCACAAGATCCTTCTCCACCTGATTTTGCGAGACAAGGCGCACAAAGTCACCATGAGTCAAGGCTTTGCTTTCAATAATGCGTTTGGTGATCAGATCAGCAGAGCTGTTAGACGGTGTGCCCACAAGAAGACGCGAACCGGACACATTGTGCACCAGCTGCAAGATGGTCTCCACTAGAGTTACAGTTTTACCCGTGCCTGGTGGTCCAAAGATGACATAGGCCATTTGATACGTCTCGCCCCTCAGTGCTTGGAAAACAGCCCGCTTTTGGATGGGGTTGAGCGAGGTGTTAAACCATTTTAGCTTCTGATTACCTAGATACATTTCATCATTCTTGAAAGTGATATCCAGTTGAATTTGGTTGCGTTTGACAACCTTGCTGGGAAACAGAAAGTTTTCGCCCATTAGGTCGCAAACGCGGGGTAAAGCATGATGCTGTTTCCGAAAAGCGAAACGTGAGAAGTGGAACTCCAGACGATAATCCTCGCCATTATATTTCTGCTGAAAGTTGGCGTGAAACTTTAGATGCACTCTATTGAAGAAAACCTTGTGCACGACGCCCTGGAACAACTTTTTATCCTCGCTGTCCGGCTCCAACCAGGGATTGATCGCATTCACTGTGTCGCCCAGTACCAGCGACGGACGACGTTCCGCAAGGTTCTCTATATATAGCGAGAGAAATTCACCTTCGCGAATGAAGTGAGCTCGCTCGCGGTCATAGTTCCGAAAGCTAATGCTGTAGTCAATTTCCTCTAGGTGCAGCATAGCTGAAAAGCGTTGTACATAATTGACAAAGTTAAAGTTCCCATTGAGAAACGGATAATGAGCGCCCAAGAGTTTCCACACACCCTTAATCGTGTCCGTCTTAAGCACTATGGCGCACATTTTGTCTGGCACTTCATAGGCTCCAAGATACACCGGCACAAAGCGGCGCTTGGTAGCTATCGATTCGCCCGGCACCAACGGAGATTTATTTGCATAGACCTGAAAGGTATAGAAGCGGGACCGTTGCTGTACACTGCGTCCATTAACCATGAGCTGTTGGGAAGCAATCATACGACGGTTCGCCTCGATAGCCTCATCTTCCGTTTCGCAGACGACGACGGTCAGAAAATGAGTCAGCTTAAACGCATCGAACTTCATGCAGTAGTACTCCTTCGATTCGCCCATGAACTTGGTGTGCACCTCGAAAACCAGTGAAATGTGGTTGCCAACTGTAATGGTGCGCGAACTAACAGGCTCCACAATACGGATCTGTGACTCTGTCGAGTTTGGTACATAAATGGAGCGCAGCTCGAAGTCCCGAGTGCCCACATTTTTGAGGCGAAGTGTCACATGGTGCTTTCTCCACAGCTCTGTATAGATGAAGCGATCCACGCCCTCGACGGCAACTGCTCTTTTGTCTTCGGCAGTGGTGCTTATTTGATTTCTCGTGATCTCGCCAAAGTTTTTCTCCAGCACAACCAATTTGATGGCGCGTCGAGAGTATCTACCCTGGGTTTTTATGGGAGCAGAAAACAGATATGGACTATTTAATAATCTTACAAATAATTATCAGACTACATTTATATTTAAATGAACTTCAACTTTCTTACATATTTGCACTCGATCAGATCTGCTTGGACAATGTCGCCCAGATGCAATTGACTTCCTATTGGCACATCTTCCTTAAGTACATAAGCCAGCGATGATAGCACTATCAACTCCTCGTAGACCCGCTCGACTGTGCACTTCTGCTTCTCTTCGAGGATTGTGGGAAATAGCTTCTTTACCTCCAGTATTTCGCCCTGTTGATCCACATACCCTTCATCCAGCTGCACTTGGCATACCAGCGTAATCCCATCACCCGTTCTGGGTAAGAAGGTCGATTCAACGCTGTCCAACTGAACAGTCAGCTCGCCATAATCTGTATCAACCTCGATTGACGAGGGCTGGCGCTGCGTAATGGTGCCCATAATGTTCCGCAATTGAATATTGAAATAGGTTGGATTATCCTGCTTTAAGGAGTCCATAACTTCCTTAACCTTATGAGGAATAAATATTCATTAATGCCCTTCATCTATCCGGCTATGTAGCTCACCTTTTCCTCCGTTGGCTTCTCCCACGACTGCTCGAGAATCTTTTGTATTTTGATTACCTTGGTCTCACCATGCTCCTGCTTATATACCAAATATTCAATCACACA